CCCCAAAACCCCAAAACCCCAAAACCCCAGCATTTAAAATATCTAAAAAGCTAAGAATTACTAAATCCTCATAAATAAATAAACTATTATAAATATGCGAAATAACTCAGACTAAGACCATAAGATTAACATGAGCTAGAATATGAAGAGCGATAAAGACAATGAATCTACTCTCGGTGTACCAGTTTATAATGATTAAAAAGCAGAGGAAAAATCTCTATTATCAGACGCTGGCTCTCCTAGAACCAGAGCAAAACCCTCTTATAAACAAGGTCCAGTAAGATGGCTTGCCTTATTCTTCGCTTGCTGCTTCTTGCTTGGAAGTTATTTCTGCTACGACAATCCAGGACCTATTGAAAAAACTATGGAAAAGTACTTGGATATCTCTCAAAGTTAATATGTCTTGCTATACTCGGTATATTCTTACCCTAATATAGTTTTACCCATATTTGGAGGTATTTTCCTTGATATGATCGGTTTAAGGTATCCCTCCTAAATATAAACTAAACATATGATTATAGGATTGGTATATTGTTGTTCACAATCGTCTTAACAATCGGACAAGCAGTTTTTGCTATTGGAGGACAATATGAATCACTAGGAATAATGATTGCAGGCAGAGTAATTTTTGGGTAAGTCTTCTTGATCGATTTAGATTTTTTTTTATTACTAAGAATACCGATTGATCTTTGGATCCTTTTTTATGAATAATTACTTACTAAATTTAATTAGACTTGGAGGAGAGTCAATGTCAGTTGCTTAATCAGCAATTGTTTCTAAGTGGTTTAAAGGAAAGGAGCTTTCAATGGCTATGGGATTAAACATTAGTGTATCACGTTTAGGTAGTGTTATTAATGGTTTTGTTGTTCCTCAAATCTATAATGATGGTAATCACGATAAATTGGGACAAGCATTGTTTGTGGGATTAGGAGTTTGTATTTTCTCGCTTGTTTGTGCTATCTTATTGAGTAATATTATCATTTATTTTACAAATACTCGTTAGTCTTAATGGACAAGAGAGCTGAAGTAGCAGATGGAAATAGTGGCTCTGCCCCTGTTTTGACAGATGAAGACAAATTTAAGTTCAGTGATATCAGAACATTCAACAAATCTTTCTGGCTTTTATGCTTCTCCTGTGTAGTAGTCTACATGGCTATTTTCCCATTCATCTAAGTTGCTTCAGGCATGCTTCAAGACAGATTCCACTTCTCAGAAACAACTGCTGGCTAACTCTTCGGTATTCCATATACTATTTCAGCATGTACCAGTCCTTTCCTTGGGTTCTTTATTGATAAAGTCGGAAAGAGAGTATTGCTTGTTATTATTTCATCAATCATTCTACTACTAGCTCATTTAAGCAATATGTTCTTTGAAGATTGTGAATAATGCTATACTGAGTTGTGCCCTCTTATTCTAGTAGGTATTGGTTACTCAATTTATGGAGCAGCTCTTTGGGGATCTATTCCCTATGTTGTTGAGGCAAGGACAGTGGGAACTGCCTTTGGATTCGTCACAGCTATTCAAAATGGAGGTATGGCACTAGCACCAACTATTGGAGGAGCTATTCATGATGTTTCATTAGGATCAAAGCATGGCTACTTCTACTAATCAATGTTTTGGATGCTATTGTGCGTTCTCGGATTCTTGCTAAATGTAATGCTTTACATTGAAGATATAAGAAATAACGGAAGAATTCTTGATAAAGTGCATAAGAACAGTGAAGAAGAAACAATAGATCTTATTACAAGTCCAACTCCTCAACAAAGAAGGGAAATAGAAACAAAAGAAGACATCAATGAAAATGAAAAAGAGTATCTTCTTAACCCAAACACTAGAAATGCCCTTAAAAGATCAATGGCAAAGCTCAAAAAATGAAAATCATTCATCAAAATAAAAATCGATTCTATAATTTATTACAAACCTATATATGCCTTTAATATAAAGTCAAGCGGGGTTTTGGGGTTTTGGGGTTTTTCCCTTTCTTATTGCTTTTTTGC